GCTCTGCTGGATGGAGTTGCAGGCCTCCCAGCTGCAGCTGCGTAAGGATCTGTTTGATAGGGAGTGCCTTGGAGAGGGACAGGCACCCCTGTGTACAGTGTGAGGACAGCAGTTTGCCCTCGTTTTGCCACCTGTAGGACTTGAGCAGGAGCATCTGAACTGGGACCCAGTTGCTTTTCAGAGACATTGCTCTTTCCATTGATTCTGCCTGGGAAATGAAGGAGAGCGTACTCTCAGGGCTCTGCCATTACGGAAGACGATTTGAAGTTATAGTTTCTTTACAGCAAAGTTAAACAATAACCTGACTTGTGGGATTGCAACACACAGTAGTCTACTTTCAGTTTATAATGTAGATCAAATTAAATAGTTACAGTTTCAGTGATACCGCCCTTTTATTACAGCTGACCATGAGTTTGCTTCAGAACTCATTTAGAAATTCAATGTGACTGACTGATGGATGATCCTAATGCTGGTTTTCAGCTGGGGGAAGGAGTTATTCCAGTTAACTCCTGCTTGTTATTATAAATGCTTGATGATGTGTGCAGGTGTTTGCTGCTGTGCTTGTGTGTGTGGGGGCATGTCTCTGGGCTTGAGTTTACACAGTCTAGCAGTATAATTTCTAATGATCTTTGCACCTAGCAAATAGTATTCCCATTCCTGTGTACGTAGCATTAGGAAGTTGTTGTTTATCAGAGATTCCCTTTTTAAAACCATAGTTCAGGTGCACTGATTCTGGCAAATGCATTGTCATATTTGGCATCCTGTGGCTGATGTAGGCAGTGTAACTTTTGATTAATATTCCAGATGCTGTTACTTCCTCAAAGCACATTTGCCACTCAGTTGACCAATGATAAACAGTTTTCATCAAAATCAGTTGCCAGGTTGCCTTGGGCTTCCTATGAAGGAAACTTTAAGCTGAATTTGCTTGATTAGTGTGCAAACCTCTATTTGTACTGTGTCAGAATGCTTAAAGTCAGTGAGATGCTTTCAGAATTCTTAAGCATCCCTAACTGAATGGAGTTTCACTAATTACAAGCCCAAAGTGTTACCAGGTTTAAACAGGAAAATGAAATGACTGATTTCTCAGTTTGAGGTTTTTTATTTTAACTTTCTTCTGAATTCTGTGATATTATCTATATCTTGATGTACAGGACAGCTTTTTTAAAATATGAAAACTGAGACTATGTAAGTGGAGGTATAAGAAAAGCACCAGAAAGTTTGCTGAGTGTGATAAAATTACGGCCTTTGGCACCACAAGCTGTAGGCTGGTAGAAAAGCCAGCTTGGGTCTGAAATTGGCTTAATTCTTAATTCCACTCCCTTTTCCAGTTCCTTTCATAGGCCCTTTGTAGATCACCTTGTTAATTGTAAGCACATAGCAGTGGCCAGAAAACTCTATTTTGTAAAAGGGGCTTGTATTTGCAACTGTGCGCCTGGAAGCTTTTGCAATACAGAACACATGCCTTGATAGGTCTGAAAAAAAAACTGGAAAAGTGTGATTTTTGAGCAAAAGCATGGATTTGTTTTGTCTAGACACTTTTATCTGCAGGTCTGTTTCTCTTCAAGGCCTTGTTTAGAAATGGACTTGCATTCTTGTTGCCAAAAACTACTTCAGTGTCTCAGTTGGATACATATAAACTTCTTTTTATATCTGATTTCTCTATCTACATTATTTAAAACATGATGCAAATTCAGGTGAATTTCTGTCCACCATTTGGAAATGTGCTAAGGACTCCCCACTTCTGGGTTTTCCCTGATTTAATTAATTTAGGTTAAAATACATCATTAACTAACCAGTGGTGAGTGTGTACATTGACTGTCTCTGTTTCTTTGGCTTTGTGGAAGGCTGTAAGAATGAGACTCAACTGTTTTGCTCAGTTAGGATATGATTTAAGGACACTTCTCATTTTAAATCTATGAGGAAAAGGTCTGTGACAAAGGTCAATGGATGACAAAGTTTGGTTCTGAATAATTTTTTTAAAGTAGACCAAGATACTTTGAGGTATGAAAGCAGAAGTAGGAAATGCTAGTTCTCTGAAGTGGTATGCTTTGTAGCTTCTCTGCTGTGGTTTTAAAGCATGATATATGTAGATGTCAGTATGTGTGGTGAGTGTGCACATACTATTATGTACCTCTCTACTGTATTTCTAAAATACATGCAGAAGGTGATAGGTGAGGTGGTACTGGAACTTGAGGTGCAGTCAAGTTACCTTATGCTCTGAGCCATACTGAATTTGCAAAGCCAAACTCGGGCAACTTTAGAGGATAGCTTCTTGGTGAGCCCATCATTAAGAAGTCTGTAACAAACCCCACCACATACACTTCCCTCATCCAGTGGGTATCTTGCTCCTGGGAATGGAGCATATGTGAACATGAGACAACATGACACTTTTTGTGGGCATAAAAGATGCTAACAGTAATTTCTTATGACTCTCTAATTCCTCATACAACATAGCTAGAGTGGTCTTCTGCCATTCCATAGCTCATGGGCTGTTGCTTTGCAGCTGCTGCTTTCCTGGTGGTGACTGCATCTCAGTGCTTCTGTGTCCTTAAATCACACCCAAAGATTTCTAGATTGAAACACAGGTAATATTTATGAAGTGCTTTGCACATCTTCAGTGCTAGGTACCACTGTACTGGAATCTCTCTAAGTTTGGTACACTTTTCTGAGTGTACCTTTAAGTTTGGTGCACTTGGAATTTCAAATTTAGTTTATTACAAGCTTATTTCCAAAAGAAATGCTGTCTGAACTTATATGCAAATTCTAGCATGCATTTGTAATTGAAAACACATTACAAGATAGGACATAAATTTGATTTAGATTTTGGATGATTATCAGATGGATGTAATTTCCCCTTCTCAATTTAACCTAAGTATGAAAGGAAGTGCTGTTGACTAATGAGCAGGTGGACTATTCTTGTTAGCCTTCCTGTGCTGCGTAGGAATGTAGGTATCTGAAAGTCCTTGCATTGTATGCCTTACAGTTGAAAGCTGTTCTCGGACTTTCCAAGGTTTTACTGATTTATTGCTCAGTGAAATTTACAGTTGATTAATCAATCAGCCTTTGGGTCTTTTCTGGCTAAAAAGTAAATAGCGTTAGTCTAAACACTTCAGGAAGAAATTTTGCACTCTCGGTTGGTGAGACAGTGACATTTTGAATTTGCAAAAATACAAGAAAGGGGCAAGTTCTGAGAAAGATCAGCATGTGGTTAGTTTCATAAATTTTGATTTCAGTAGGTAAAGCCTTATATTCACCATTATGTGAGTACTGCTACTGGAGAAGGGTGTTTTTCATAAACTTTATCCCTTCTTTAGAGGGAAGGAGGCAGGAAGGGGGCCTCAGTGTAATTATCGTGGATTAACTAGCCAGCCTAGCGCAGTCAAGGTCAAAATCTGATGCTGAGCACAGCCCCTGTTCAGTGAATGACTGTTGTTACTTGTGTGCATGTGCTTTGCTTTTGGCAGGTGAGAAGTCCTGATGGGCTCAGGCAGTGTTAAGCTGTTGACTGTGGATGATGGCAGTCTCTCTGAGGCTCGTATATCAGCATTTGTTGCCAGCCTGTGTGCTGGTTTTATACCTCACACATGAGGTTAGACCCTGATTAGTCACCTTCCAAGCACAGCAGGAACCTCCCAGACTTTATACAGCTTCCTGAGGGTTGAGTGAGGTCAGGTGAAAGTCACTGCTGAGGAGGGTAGCTTGCATGAGAAGACCAGAAAAATTCAAGTTTTGGAAAAAAAATGACTAGTCCATTATTCATTGCCTCTGAGTGGTGCAGCACAATTTTATGGAGAAATGCAAATATCCCAGTTATAGAAAACCTCTTCTGCAATGGGAAAAAGAAGGGGAGTGGAAATCTGTTTTGCATGGCTGGCGTGAGATCCTCACCATGTCCCTCTGCATTTCTGTGGTGGTTTGGAGCCATTCATTAATGTGTGTTTAGAAGTTCATCAAAGCTTGGTGGTCATGATGTCAGGGAATACAATACTGAGTGGGACAGAGTTTGTCAGAGTTCAACTGGACTTGGAAAACAGGCAGTTAGTATTTGTTAAACACAAGTTGCCAGAGTAGGACCCAGTTTTCAAATAGCATTGGAGTTTATGTCCCTAGTTAATTTAACAGGGTCTGCTGGATATAGAGGTACTTAAGTGTCCAATTGGATGTAAAAAGAGAAGCCATTTAGGTTTCTTCACAGACAAAGGAAGTACTGAGTATGAAGCCTAAAGTCACTTCTCTGCCTTGTCAGGAACAAAAGGAAAACTTATGTTATGAAGCTGGAGGGAGTTCTCTAAGAAAGTGATCTTTACATGACCTTTGTGTGTGTCCCAACTCTGGATTCAAAATAGCTTCAGGCAGAGGAAGATTTTTTTTTTCTGCACTGTTTCTTATCAGATGATCTAGAAAAAAATACTGCCTTCAGGCTTCTGCTTTGCCAGTTCAGTTTCCTGAATGGCTGTCTGATCTTCTCACCTGCTCTTTGTTGGTAAAAAGTTAAAACTAGCATTTTGTAAAACAGTGGTGACTTTGCAGCTCTTGTTTTTAATACACTGAAACTACTGTGTGCAGTAAAGAACCTTGTTAGGTGGTGAGTCCTGATGAAATGATGTGGAAGATGCACCACCAAAATATGTAATAGTATGGTAGGAACTTTCCTGCATGTCCTGCAACTTTCTATGACTGCCCTGTGCAGTTTTCTGCACTGCTGTGGTAATTAACAGGTTTCCCGTTAATCTAATGGGAAAAATACTGGCTTCTAAAAGGAATTCATACCTCTCTGACAGCTGGCCAGATTCTCACTGTTTTAGTAGGACCTTGGAGGAGCAATTTCCACCCTTTGATTTTCTTTTTACATGGCCATTGTCATGCAAAAGGAGTGCTGGAGGAAATGAATGACATGCCCCATTTCTTGACTCTTCCTGATATCTCTCCAACATCATACCTGTGACTTTGGAAATGGTTGTCCTAAAACACTGCTGTATGTTTCCTGTGCTCTTGCATAGCAGAAGCCGAGACCAATTTTGAGGGCATTGAGAGCAAGTTTTCCTTACGGGTGCCTGCAGAGCCAGATGAGGATGCCTGCTACCTGGTTCCTGGGCAGGTGGACAGCCTGGCAGAGTGCAACTTCAACCGTACCAGTAAAACCTTTGTGATCATCCATGGGTGGACGGTAAGAAGAAAGAGGAGGAATTTCCCTTCTAACCACACCCTTGATAAACTGAGCTAGATATATCAGCTGAGGTGTCTATACACCACAGATTAATATTAAGATACCTCCTTTTTTAATTTAAAAAAACCCAACAGGTGACAGGAATGTATGAAAGTTGGGTCCCGAAGCTGGTGGATGCTCTGTACAAGAGGGAACCTGATTCAAATGTCATCGTGGTGGACTGGCTAATTCGAGCTCAGCAGCACTACCCAGTGTCAGCTGCATACACTAAGCTGGTGGGAAAGGATGTTGCTATGTTTATTGACTGGATGGAGGTAAGGCATGCAGTCATGTGTCTCACATTGTGCATAAAGTCCTAGGAGACAAAACAGCAGTGATACAGCTGTGTTAATCATCTCCTATTGGGTGATGGAGTTAAGCTGTTGCAGGCAGTACTTTTGCTGGGCTGGTAAAATGCCAGCTTTAATTTAACGGTTCTCTTACACAAGGACACCTTTAATAGCGCATTTGAGAAACTTCATGTTGTGGTCTCTGGAGGCTTGTGAGTCCACAGTATTTCTGAAGTCTCTGAGAAGTAGCTGTGAAAGGCAGGTTCCTATATATTATACAGCAGTCAGCTCTTGGGAAACAGATACATGCCCTGCCTGTGGGAAATACTTATGAGATGTAGAAACTGGTGGGAAGGGAGTGGCTGAAAACATTTGATACAATACACAGCCCTGTGTTCTATCCACAGAACATTTTTCCTTTTGTCTTCTGACCTTTTCCCATTTGATTTCATGCTTCAAACAAATCTCTTATACAGGAGCAATTCAATTATCCTCTCAACAATGTCCACTTGCTGGGGTACAGTCTAGGTGCTCATGCTGCTGGGGTTGCTGGGAGCCTGACCAAGAAGAAGGTCAACAGAATTACTGGTAAGAAAACCTGTGGTTGTAAAGTAGAGTAATGTCTCTTCCATGCTGAAATACTACGTTCCTCTGGAAAATCACTAGAATAATTGTTGCATGTTGGCAGTACTTAGCTTGTGTTCATTCTTTGTTGAATCAGCAGGGCTGATATTTATGCAGTAGAACTGGAAAAGGTTCAGAAAAGAACAACAAAGGTGGTGGGTGAGATGCTTTGATCTGCCTCTGCACAGGAAATGAGTGAGTAGGCAGGGATTCGTTGGTCATGGAAAGACTAGCTGTGGGGGAATGTGATCGAGACTAGCCAAGTCCATGGCTTGGAGAAGGTCACAGTATCTCTTGCAGCATGAGAACTTCAGCTGGTTGTCTTCATCCAGGTGATCATACCTTGCAGCTGGTGGGAGCTGTTCAGAAAGAACAGGAGATCTTCCCGTGGTGGGTGTGGTACCTGCAGAGCTCTTATGGGATGTTGTGGATGCAAGAATTTTGTATGTGCTCAAAGAGACTGAACAGATAATCAGAAGAGATGTCTGATACTGTTACCTCATTGTGGGTTACTAAAAAAGAATAATTCTAACAGGCTCAAGTAATATTCTAGACTATAAAAAAATTACTAGGATGGTTTTGGGAAGGGGAGGGAAATATACATATGCGTGCCCAGTTTCTGTGTATGTTTCAATGTCTGCTTAGGGTGAGTTTTGGAGGCTGAGAAGCATGCTAGACAAGGCAGAGTTCATGGCCACTCTGGGGCTGGTTTACAGCCCAGCACCTGGAGAGCTGACCCCCTAGCACTGATCTTGGTGACAAAGGAAATGCCAACATCAGCAAATGGGGCTAAGAAAATCACTCATCTGTGGTGTCTTCACTGCTGAGAGAGCTTGGGAGCGGCATTCAGATGGAAGCCTAGCACCCCCTGTCCTTTCACCTGAGCCTGGCTGTGATCCCAGATCCACAGGCATGCTGGGGGTGGGTTAGGCAGCAGTCACATCAGGAAAGGCTGACTCCTGAGAAGTGGCAGATTAAAATAAGAAGGTCAAAGCACCAGTCCCTTTATCCTTCCTTTCTCTCAGCTGCAGCATTGTTGCTTTCCCTGAGGGTGTCAGCTTACTCAAATGCCAGTAGCTCTCTGTTATGACCTTAGTGCCCAGAATGAACCTTTCTCTGTGAAAGTGGCATCACCTTTGAGCACAAGGAGTGATGGAACGTGGTCCCTAAAGCCCTCGCAGCAGAGGGAGGCAGCTCAGACTATGTGAGGCTAACCAGGAGTGGGCAAGCCAGGTGCCTGCTGCCAGCTGAGGACTGCAGGACACGCATGTCCCTTCAGCTCTGCGTTCAGCCATCTCTTAAGTAGTTGTCTGGACTTAAGAGATAGTACTTGTTTACTGGCAGATTAGTTTTGGGTATCTTTTTATTTCAGGGTTGCAGCAGCTTGATAGTTTACCATGATAATCTCCTTCCCCTTAGGCATGTAGACAGTGAAGCTCTTGCTAATGTTTCCCGCTTGTTCTCCAAGCAGGGAGTTAGCAACAAGACATGTTTCACACTTCAGACACTTCAAATAGAAATTTTACAATTCCTCTCTTTTTTGACAAGAGAGGTAAACATTGAGAAAATATTTACTACCTTGTTTCTTCCATCTACTGGAAATGCTACATCTATGAGGATGCTATCTGGGCTTCTTTACATATGTTTACATACACCTTATTTTTTTTAAAACAGTGACAGCATTTCAAGGTAGTATATTTGATTCTCCTGTATACATTAATGCTGCATAAATGATCCTGCTGCAATGTCTGCAGGGACATGGACATGATATGCAATACTCTGGCCCAGTGTGGTAGCTGAGTTTGGCATTTGTTACCACTGCCAGTGTCTTTGGCAGACAATCAGCTTTTCTTTGTGGTTTGCCCCATAAAGGGCTGGATCCAGCTGGTCCTACCTTTGAGTATGCCGATGCCCTCACCCGCCTCTCCCCGGATGATGCTGACTTTGTGGATGTCCTACATACCTACACTCGAGGCTCTCCAGACCGCAGCATTGGGATCCAGAAGCCTGTCGGACACATTGATATTTATCCTAATGGTGGAGGTTTTCAGCCAGGTTGCAACTTGGGAGAAGCACTCCGTCTGATTGCTGAAAAAGGCTTTGCAGGTGAGGCTGCTCTGAGACAAACAGTGTAACATCCATAGGGGGATCTTCAATAGCCTCCAGGTTTCCTGCAGGCAAAGATCTCCGAGAGGCCCGGAAACTTGTTCGTTTAAGTGATTTTAAAAGTCACCCTCTGAAGCCCAGCTCTGGCATAGTGGATTGTGTCTGTCAACAGCATTGGTTAGGGGGTTATATAATTTATGTGCATGTGTATACTTATTACACGCTCTTTCTTTCAAGATGTGGATCAGCTGGTGAAATGCTCTCATGAACGATCCATCCATCTCTTCATTGACTCTCTTCTCTACGAAGAGAAGCCCAGCATGGCCTACCGCTGCAACACAAAGGAGGCCTTTGAGAAGGGTCTCTGCCTGAGCTGCCGGAAGAACCGCTGCAACAATTTGGGTTACAAGGTCAACAGAGTGAGAACGAAGAGAAACACCAAAATGTACTTGAAGACCCGTGCTCAGATGCCCTACAAGGGTAGGTCCTGCTTGCTTACTGGCTAGCAAGACTGATGCTTTTGCTCAGTTGTGTATCAGGGTGGGTGCGTACTGCCGACAACAGTTTCGGTGCCTGTGTTGAGCACTGGTGAAGCTTGCCATTAAGTGCAAGCTGAAGTACAGTCTCTGAAAAACAGTGTCGTCTTACGCAAGTTGTGGAGCTTGTGGAGTTGTGGTAAAATAAAAAAATGAAGGTATTTTGTCACAAGTTTCTAAGTAGCAAAATAAGGAGTATTTACTCTGTGGCCTGGTCACTTGGAGCAGCTGAATGTTCCAAAATTTTTTGGTATTTTTCATACAAATAAATTTGTCCTACTGCTGGGAAAATCAGCAGAGCTTAGCCTGATGAGCATCTTTAAAACACGTGCAACCATCAGTCTTGTCTTTCATAATGTCTTTGCCAGAGAGGCATCAGCCCTTATTACGATATCACAGCACTTCTTGATTCCCATTGGCACAGTGGTCATTTGAGGAGGACGTTGCCAGAAAGAACTGGAAGGCTTTCAGCTAGGGAAATAGCTTCAGAGTTGGATTTTACTACTTTTATTTTTTTTTAATTCCCTCCCTAGTTTTGACTGTGCCACATGGTATGCTCATTGTGTGCGTTGTGTGATGGACCAGCGATCAGAGGGCACATTCCTGCAGTGTTAGAACAGCTGCAAGGCTAGTGTTTTGTTGGTGTTTGCAGCTTAATCTGCAGTGTCAGTGGGCTCAATTTTTTTCACCAAGGCTCCTGTATGAGGAGGGCACTGCTCACTTGTTTCAAGTCAAGGATGGCAAGTTTTACATATTCCTAACGTTTGAATGTGATACTGCAGACTCTGGGGTTATTATAATGGCAGTCAAGGTAAATGGAGAGTTTAGTTGTAAGAACTGCTAAGTGTTTTTTTAATCTTGATTCACTTGCATCTTAATCTTTACCTCCTCACAAAAATAGTTCCCTGAATGCCTGCAGGGAACTTAACTTACTTACTTCTCAGTGTAGTGGTGTTGGCCTGTTCCAGGCTAGGATTTGCATGGGGGTTTTGGGGTGGTTTTGTCACCAGCAGTCTTTGGAGGTTGAGTTTTTTTCCTAATGGCACTTTCTTTGGTGTTCTTCCAGTCTTTCATTATCAGGTCAAGATTCATTTCTTTGGAAAGACTAATACAACCAAGACAAACCAGCCGTTCCTGATCTCTCTTTATGGCACTCTGGATGAGAGTGAGAACATAGCTTTCACGCTGTGAGTAGCTACAGAATCAACTGCAGTGTACTGTTGAGCCTACCTAAATCTGTTAAAACTTGTTCTAGCTCTAGCTACAGAAATCTTACAGGGTCCCAGGATTTGTTTCTGTCCTTTATCAAGTGGATACATCCACTGCTGAAGCTAATGATCGAAACTCTATGGGAACTGCTTTTGATAAGAGATCTGAAATACAAAGCCTGACCTGTGGCTCAACCTAATAAAAATCTTTCTGGTATGGCAGGCTTCTAATTTTCTTCTCTTTTCATTATCTTTATGCCATGTTCCAGCTGTGTTAAAGCTCCCTAAGCAGACTGCCACCTGGAGTTATTTGTTTGATGGGTCTGAAAACCTCAGTGCAGAAGCTGAGGGAGACATGGGATTTGTGTCCACAGCTCTGCAAATAACCAGGTCTGTGTTTACATCCCTGCACCTGGACTGGCAAGGAATGAAGCTGGAAAGCACCAAAATCTGTTTTCTACTCAGAGGAACCTATAGTGTTCATGAATGGTGCTTCTCTGGTTTCTGTGAGAGCCACCAGCTCTGGAGAAGATGACAGCCCTTGCCTGGCAATCTGTCCCAGGGTTTTACCAGCCTTGCTGCAGAAAGCTTTACCTTGTGTCTCTACAAAGGCTTAAGGTGTTGGGTTTTTTTTTTCTTAGTCCATCCATCAGAACTATGGAGAAGGTTGCTTACTTCTCTGAAGTACATAAAGTTCTGATTCTGTGTTCTGCTCTAACTTTCTGTCCAAGTGTCACCTTTGTTATCTTCCTTCTTCCCCTTCCCACAGGCCTGAAGTCTCTTCAAACAAGACATTCTCCTTCCTGATTTACACAGAAGTGGACATTGGTGACCTACTTATGCTGAAGCTGCAGTGGGAGAAAGACAGCTTCTTCAGTTGGTCAGACTGGTGGACTCCTTTTACATTCAACATCCAGAGAGTCAGAGTGAAGTCAGGAGAAACTCAGAAAAAGTAACTTGTTCTGATTGTTACAAGCTATTATTAGTTTTAATTGACAGTGTTTCCTGATTCCTGGTATCTTACAGGGCGGGACAAAACATGGAAAGCAGTTACAAATGGGTGCAGCACCGATAATCAGGGCTCCAGTGGCACCAAACAGGCGTTTATGTCAGCCAGGTTCCGTTGTTTGCTTCCACTGGAACCTGCAGTCTGTAGCTTTACTCTCACATAATTCATTTGCATACCACTGCTTCATATGCCTCTGGCTAGTTATAATACGCAGGAGATGATCTCCGTGAACCAGCATCTCTGGTTGTATTTGCAGTTCTCCTTTCTCTTGATGGACATTTGCACAGGTTTTCTTGTGAAGAGTATGCATAGAAGGAGATTTTTAGAAACGCTTCCAAAAGTGCATTTGCACAAGAAATCATTGCTTCCGTAAGCTGCATTTTCTTAGGAGTTGGGAATACCTGAGTGGTGGGTGAAAACTGAAACACATGACTGTTGCAGGACATTGCTGATGCATGAATGTCAAAACAGCAGAGTCTGAACGGAACTGCTTTGACCTGAATCTTTTGAAGTGCTCATATTCACTAGATATGAGGTCTGTTACCAGAAAATGGACCTAGAAGAGAGTATGCATGTCTTATGTAGAGTACTGCGAAGAATATGTTCCTCCTTCGAATAAACAAGGCAGTCACTTTATCAAAGAGCAGTTATCAGAGCTGGACAAATACAGGGGTGGGGAAAGTACTGATAAATAGAAGAGCAACTGCTCAGGTTTGCTGGAATTAGCAACTTCCTCAAATGTTTGCAAACAGAGTAAGGCTTTTTACCCCAAGATCATTCACCTGACAAAAAGGTCACACAAAGACTTGTGTAAATAAAGATCAAAAAGACTTTGAAAGCTTTTGCTTTCTTAGCCACAAGACTTTATGCAAAGGACCAGCAAAAGTTAGGGCTACAGTTTGAGGTCCATGCATAATGCATTTACCAGTTTTTCTTGCACAATGTTTCCTCTGTCTCAGAATTGTGTTTTAAAAATAATTTTCTCACAGGCTTGTAAAGTAGTAGTGCCCCACATGGCAAAGTATGAAGACTGCTTCAAGCAGTCCCATTCCTATGGTTAAAGAGAGATGTGTGGCTCATGTGATTGTCCAATACTTACTCCACAGGGTGGTGTTCTGTTCTCGAGATGGCATCTCACATCTCACCAAGGGAGAAGAGGCAGCAATATTTGTAAAATGCTTGGAGCAGCCTGTCAACAAGAAGAGAGGAGGGTATGAATGGTCACTATTGTTTTGAGGCTGGGGGAAGGTTGAGTGGTAGCAGAAAGATAAAATAAAACTTCCTAATTTGGTTCACTTGTGCATTAGTCTTCTTAAGGCTTCAGAAGTGTCACAACTCAGACTAACCTGAGGTTTCCTTATGGCAGCTTTGAAATACCTAATCTGGTTCTCTGCTAACCATCTCCTTGTGTGGTTGTTAGCATGTCTGAAAAGCAAGTACAAGTCACTGCCTCTCATGTTCACATAGTGGTGGACTCTAGACGACTGCTAGGATTTACAGGCAAGATACTAACACAAAGAGGAAAGTGTGGATTTACCCTTCATTGAAGAACATCCAAACATCCATGCTGAGTCAGTCCAGAGCCCTTCCTCCTCACAGACCAGCTAGCAGATTTGGAGGCTGGTACGAAAACTAGGCAGGGATATGCAGGTACTTTCCTTGACAGATTGCCTTCTGCTGGCAACTGCTAGGTGAGTGACTTCCTGAGATTAGCATCTCTGGTTTGGATCACAGATTGAGTCTTTGTGTTTAATAGCACTTTAATAGCCCTGGTGAACTTCATTTTTTTTATCAATAGTTTTTCTGACCCAGATTAAACTTAAAAAAGTGGGGCCAGTTTTACTTGGACTTTATCCGTTCAAGTTTCAGCTGGAGAAGTGGTTATATTTATTTTAGTGCAGTTGCTGTGTGTGAAGGGTCTCATGGGGACACTTCCAGACTGAGATCTAGTTCTGCATAAAAAGGCATGTGTGCTGACCTTCATTCCAGGGCAGTGACCTGGGGAGGCCTTGAGATCTTTGTATCAGATGTGTAAAATCAAGCAGCAGCCGGGAAAAGCCCAAGCACATAATTCGTTTTCCTGTTAAGTACTGCTTTTTTAATCTTAAATCTCAAAAATAAGACACAAATGAACTAGTATCTTACACCTTCCTCTTCACCTTGTCTGTCTTGTCTTTTATTTCTTTCCACAGTGCCAAGAAAGCCTCTAATGAAAATTCTGCTCATGAATCTGCTTAAGTGACAGGAATGAAGATTTTTCTACACTTGGGAGCAGGAGAGTCTGGTCATACCCATGGACTGGATGTTCAGAACCAAATATATAGAAATATTTATCTGCTGCTGACTTTTTGCCTGCTATTCCTAGCTATCTTAGGAGACTTCTTGTAGGGAAGTCTCAGCATATGAAGTTACTAACCATAAAGATACATTATCCAAATAGTTATAAACAAAAAGAAAATTACAAAACAACTTGCCAAAGGCTTGAGTGCTGGAAAGAAATAAGTATTTTTGCTTAATCATGGTGCCTTGTGACAAGGTGTCTCGATGTCAGATTCTCTATAGCAGTTTTCTAGTATTTATTGAAAAGAAGCAAAGCCATGTACCTGGCTTTTCTTTCACTTTCAGGAGTCTTCTGAAATGGGACAGGGTTTTTTTTCTGGCTTGGCTAACTGAATTTTGAGACATTTCAGTGGCTAGAGTTCATTGTCTTCAAGTGTGTTTTTAGCAAATAAGTAGGCTTCTCATGTGGAAAACCCCCTTTGCTGTGTGTGTTACTGAAAGATGTCAGGGACTGACTTAATATGGGGATGAATTTTCTAGTTTGTGGTTATGAATGTGTTTACTGTGGGTAGATGCCAGTTCTGCTTAGCATAGATATGATCTGTTAAGCTATACTTCAATGCAATGTACCCTGGAATAAACAGCAGTTGTAGGAGAAGGCAGCAATGCTAGTGTTCTATGCAGACGTTCATCTGTGCTTTCATTCCTTGAAAATGAAACCATCTAGCCTTCAAAACTGAGTAAGGAACAGCAAAGGAGTTGAGCTACCAGAAACTGTGGGAAACATTTTTTTCGGTTTTTTCCCACCACTTGCTTGCATCCTGTATGCCAAAGCTGTGACAGTTTCTCTGTTCTTTGACACCAAATGTCACTCATGCAGCTGAGTGGCTACTCTATCCTGTCTTAGGTGCAAGTGAAACCACTTGGTGACAGGTGAGAAGCTGTACTAATGCTTTCCTGTACTAGAGTTGTGACTGTCAGTGATCCACGTCAGTTTGTTACTTGGCTGTGATACAGTGCTAGATTGTAGGAGCTGCTTGGCGTTCTGATATAAGGTGAAATTCAGCAAGGAGCAGGAGCATGGACAGTTGAAAGGAGCCTCATTGTGTGATGCACAAGAATGAGCGCTCTGGAAAAACACTTGAATTAGACATGCTGCAAGTTGCTAAAAGTAGATACATTGAAGGCATTCAGCTTCCCTTTTTTTAAGTAACACAATTTTTTCTAGCACTCTGAAAGGTTCGGTAGCCCTCTTCTAGTTTTCTAGAAGATAAAAAAAGTACTGGGGAGGCAGAAGGGCTTGACGGTAGACACGTGGAGAAGTGTAATTGATTACACAAGGAGCTTTTGATGCTAGTTTTTGTAGTCTTTCCCTGGATATGCAAGACAGTATGGAGGTGGTGATTTCTCCAATATCATCCCATTTTGAAAGGAAATCCAACATATTTGCATTTATGTGCACAATTGTTTATTTTTCCAGACATGGCTGCTAGTGTACTTGGGGATAAAAGTGCAATATGTTGGAATATTAATAACTCTTAAATTGCTCATATTTGATTTCCTAACCCTTAAACTATGGCAAAGATGTGATGAGTCACTGAGGGTGGGGTTGAGTATTGAGCCACTGCATTGAAGACCTCTAAAAATAAATATGATTTAATCCCTATAGACTTCACATTTTGTTGCAATTTTCTCTTAAGAATTTAGTTCTTTGGAATTAGTGTCTGAACAGGTGTGCTCTTAATACAGAATCAAATACAATCACATACAGAACTTGGATACCAAATAGTGAAACGTCTTGTACATGAGGACACATGATTTAGCTTTGGATGTTATTTATTAGCTGTAAATAAGATATTTATGTGTGTTAAGATAGTTTGTATATTTTGTTAAAGTTACTGACAGTCTCTACATTAATACAGTTGTGGTATTAATCCTGTATATAGCTTTCAGAGAGATTTTTATCAACAAACCACTTACACTGCATTATTTCCTATGTGGTTAAGACTTTTTTTTTTTTAAAGAAAGCTCCTCATTTTTGTACAGAGTGGAAACACATGGTTTTAATAAAATTCTCAAACTGATCCTGAAGTCACTAGTTTCCTTTTGATGAAAGAATCTGATGTGTATCAGCCTTTTACTTGGATTCTGGCAGGAAAAAGATGGGGCAAGAATATTTTTTTTAAGGACTCTGTGATTATTTTTTTCCCATTCCTTTTGGGAAATGCAAAAATAAATTATCAAGACATCAAGAAATCACTGTGTGCCAGAAAGTATACCTATCACAAGAGAAGTAGCTGGTCACCTGCAGTTAGTGGTTTTCAAATTTCATGCCCTTTTAAGAACACCCTTACTTCAGAAGGTTTGTTTCCTCTTTTTTGGTCAATGTCAGAACTATGCTTCTGCTCCTCACTGTACCAAAATAGAGATGTTCTGACCCTGTGGGTGCAGGAGGCTAGCACCAGTCCTTTACCACCACTGCCACTTCAGGGAATAACAGTGGGAAAAAAACTTTGACCCACATCTTTTGAGCACAGCTGAGCTCAACAGTGGTTGTCACCAGAACAGTTTGTCATACACAGCAAGTGTCCTTGGAAGGGGTGTGCCAGAATTAAGGAGAGTTGTAGTGGCTTGGAGGGGGAACACACAATATAAGGAGCATTTAGAGCAGCTCTGAGTTGGCTTGAGAGGCTGCTTCCAATGCTTCCTTGGTCCAAGAGATTGCTCTGGAGCAGACCTTTGCTCCTCATGAAAGGAGAAGGGAGGTGTGCAGGGGAAAGCAGATGGGTACAAAGACAAAGGAGGAATGGAGGGAGAGGGATGAAGAAGGGAAGGGGAAGAACTGGAGGGGGAAGGGGGTTGGAAGTACCCTGGGGGAATGAATGAATGGGAGAGGGAAGGTGGGAGGAACCCAATCTGCAGAGAGAGAATGCATGGAAATGCTGGAGGCAAATGTTCTAAGGACACTGCTGCTTTCCCTGATTCAGTGGCTGGGTTAAGGGACTGGAAGGACTCCTGCAGTTGTACAAGACAAGGCCTGTGCCCATATCTCCTAAAAACATTCTGATATCACCACTTTTCTAAAAACATAGCAACCTCACTACACTAAACATGTTATTAGTTAAAGCAGAGAAATAGTTTTTGGTGCAGGGATAAGAACCCAGGTCACCTCTGTGAGCCTTCAGAGCTGGCCCGGTACTCTTGCAACTTGCTTTACAATGCCCAGCCGCATCACAAAAGCTGATGATCCCTGCTCTCCCTGCCAACTGCCTCTGGAGAGGACTGTGGGGCAATAGACTGTGCCATGGCTAATCAATGGCTTGATCAGGCAGAAAGAGTCACTCTTGGCTGGAAAGAAAGGGTGAAGAAAAGGATTTTAGTCAGTGTACCTGCAAGGCAAGGAAATCTTGACTTAAATACCTAATGCCTAGATTTTATTCCTACATATTTCATTTTGACAAAGTTTTGGAACTGGCAATGAATGTGCTGTCTGTAGGTGTCTCCATACTCAGCGGTTTGCTAGTTAGCTCATTTGACTCCCCTGCTAAGGCATCATATTCTTCATAGGTGCCTGAAATGCAGCACCTGGTTTTACATCAGAGGACACACACTTTAAGCATTACATTGCACGGGGCAAGAATAATAGCTGATAATCTGAAGTCCAAGATTAGTTCCTCTCTAAAAGCTGAGAAAGCACTCAATTGATTCAGCAGTGAGAAAACTGATCCTCTTTCCATATCTGTAAAGTGGGTGGTTGATTTCCACGAGCCTTGAAATCATGAAGGCCTGTATAAATTCCACATTTTTGTACACCGGTCCTTTTTTTTCCTTCACAAACTGTGTCGACTAGCTATGGGAAATGCTTTTCTCCCTTCAGATATGGTTGTGTGTCTGCTGTTTGCTGCGTGTTGTGAACAAAATGTCAGAAGCTTGCTGCTTTGGATGAGCAAGACACTGCAAATGTGTTGTTTCTAAAGCTGGTCAAAAACAGATACTGAAAACAACTTTTAGATAAAAGGAAAGAATTAAAGTAGCTGTAGTATTTTCCTTTTTATTTACAGCTGACAATGCAGAGCTGTCCACCTTATGACTCTGTCAATCCAAACATAGCAATATTGAAATTCTCTGGTCCAAGCAATTCCAATTGCTACCAAGCCATCATTCAGGAAAGAAATTTCCAGGTTCTCTGTCCGTCTCTTTCTAGAAAAGTCTTTTAGTCAAATGTCTTTTGTAGCAGCTCTGGGAAGTCACCAGTTTACACACAAACAAATAAAGGGATTAGCATTGTCCAGTGACTGAAGGAGAACAAGGAAATGAGAAGAGGAAGGGAAGGGAACCATTTGGCCGAACATCCCATGTAGAGCTTGTCTCAACAATGCCTTTATATCCGTGTGCAGTGCTATCTCTGTTCAGCAATGCTCAGGATGCTTTCCTAAATAATTTCAAGTTAGCTCAGCCAGAACAATGCACCCACATCGGAAAAGCAGATGCTAAACGGGGACCATTTTGGGTGTAGTAGGTGTTGGTGTGTGGGTGCAGTGTACATCCAATGATGTAATTCCCTAACCATTCATGTCAGATAAACACTGTGTTCCTCATTGTAGGCCCTTCCTGCGGGAAGTAACCTGATATCCGTAGTCTTGCTTTTCACCAGTGGGTCTGGAGAGCCTCTCTTGCTGTTCATCACCCCACCTTGTCAAACCACACGGTGAACAGCAAAAACAGACTGACTGGCCATGTGTCTGTCCTCAAAAGCACCAGGAAGTGAGGACACATTTTGTGTTGCTCCACCTGCCAAACGATTTTTTAACCCACACTTAGCTGTAAACCTGGAATCTTCTAAGCAGTGAAACAAGGACACTCTCAAACAGAGAGGACTGCCAGTGCTAGCTTCACTTCTTCGTATGCAGTCACTCCACTGAAATCAAGAGCAGTAGGAACAGATTCCCATGCTAGAACAGGTTGAAAAGATGCTAAGAATAGCCACACTTTTTCAAAAGAAACTCTAAAAAAAAACTTCAAAAGGTTTCCTTGCCAGGTCCTCCAGCTTTGGTGAAGCCCTTGCTTCCTTCCTCTGGTATGCTGCATTGAGGACATTTTGAGGTTTCCTCCCACAGTCTGGCAGGTGGCTGCTGCATAAGGCTCCCTTGGGAATAAAAACTTCTCCCATAGCTGACTCTGGATGTGAGGAGAGGGCTACCAGTCTTGTGCTTCTGATGAAAAGACCAACTCTGCCCTCACAGTGTGAAGCCTAATCCATACCCCACTGAGGCTGAGAAAAGTCTTTTCCTTGACAATGTGCTTTCCTAACACCTGGCATGTTATCCCACTTTTAAAATGAAAGCATAGCTCAGGCTTTCTTGTCTTCGCTCCCCTTCTGCATCATTATCAAACTAAGTATACACAATGTCAGGTCACGGTCTCCTCAGGCACTAAGTTAAATACCAGCTCTGGATGACTTGTCACAAATATTCCCAGCATCTCTTGGCCAGTACAGACTTGCTTATCTATGGGAAGCCAGAACAAACAGCATAACTGCAGTGATGAAAATAGCACCCAATCAAAACAAAAACAAAAAAAAAAGGAGAGAGAGAGAGCGAGAGGGACATGCTACACAATACCTTATACAACATCTAG